CCGAGCGACCGAGGCGCGACCAACTAGCCTGGGGCGACCAATGCAACCGATGGACAAGCGAAAACAAGCCAACACGACCAAAACCAGCTTTGGAACGGCCCAGCCGATGGGGCGAGCGACCGAGGGGCGGCCGACGAGCCCGGGGCGACAGGCGCAACCAATGGGCAAGCGGAAAAAGGCCAAAACAACCAACATACGCAAGGGAAAAAGCCAGCCGATGGGGCCGAGCGACCAAGGGTCGGCCGACGAGCCTGGGGCGGCCAGTGCAAACGATGGACAAGCGAAAACAAGACAAAACAACCATCGCCAGCCTGGGAACGGGTCAGCCGAGGGGCTTAGCGACCGAGCGGCGGAGCGACGAGCCTGGGGCGACAGGTGCAACCGATGGACAAGCGGAACAAAGCCACAGCAACCAAAACCAGCCTGGGAACGGGCCGGCCGAGGGGCCGAGCGACCGAGGTGCGGCCGACGAGCCTGGGGCGACCAGTGCAACCGATGGACAAGCGAGAACAAACCAAAACAACCACAACCAGCCAGGGAATGGGCCAGCCGGGAGGGGCCGAGCGACCGAAGGGCGGCCGACGAGGCCGGGGCGATTGGCGCAACTGATGGACAAGAGAAAACAAGCCAAAGCAACCAAATCACGCCAGGGAACGGGCCAGCCGAGGGACCGAGCGACCGAGGGGCGGCCGACGAGCCGGGGGCGACCAGCGCAACCGATGGACAAGCGAAACAAGCCAAGCCAAAGCAACAAAACCAGTTTGGAAACGGGCCGGCCGAGGGGCCGAGCGACCGAGGAGCGGCCGACGAGCCTGGGGCGGCCAGTGCAACCGATGGGCAAGCGAAAACAAACCAACACAACCAACACCAGCCTTGGAGCGGGCCAGCCGAAGGGCCGAGCGACCGAGGGGCGGCCGACTAGCTTGGGGCGACCAATGCAACCGATGGACAGGCGAAAACAAGACAAAACAGCCAAAGACAGCTTTGGAACTGGCCAGCCGAGGGGCCGAGCGACTAAGGAGCGGCCGACGAGCCCGGAGCGACCAATGCAACCGATGGACAAGCGAAAGCAAGCCAAGACACCCAAAACCAGCTCGGGACTGGGCCAGGCGACCAATGTAGCCGATGGACAAGCGGAAACATGCCAAAACTACCAAAATCAGCATGGGAAAGGGCCAGCCGAAGGGCCGAGCGACCGAGGAGCGGCCGACGAGCCTGGGGCGACCAGTGCAACCGATGGACAAGCGAAGACAAACCACAACAACCAAAACCAGCCAGGGAACGGGCCAGCAAAGGGGCCGCGCGACCGAGGAGCGGCCGACGAGCCTGGGGCGACCAGTGCAACCGATGGACAAGCGAAAACAAGTCAACTATGCCATCGGGCCGAGGAGCCGAAAGACAAAACAACCAACGCCAGCATGAGAGCGGTCAGCCGAGGGTCCGAGCGACCGAGGGGCGGAGCGACGAGCCCGGGGCGTCCTGCGCAAACGATGGGCGAGCGAAAACAAGCCAACACAACCGATGCCAGCCAGGGAACGGGACGGCCGAGGGGCCGAGCGACCGAGGAGCGGCCGACGAGCTTGGGGCGACCAGTGCAACCGATGGACACGCGAAAACAAGCCAAAACAACCAAAACACGCCAGGGAACGGGCCAGCCGAGGGCCCGAGCGACCGAGGGGCGGCCGAAGAGCCTGGGGCGACCAGTGCAAACGATGGACAAGCGACACCAAACCAAAGCATGCAAACCACGCCAGGGAACGGGCCAGCCGAGGGGCCCAGCGACCGAGATGCGGCCGACGAGCCTGGGGCGACCTGCGCGACCGACGGACGAGCGAAAACAAACCAAACCAACCAGAACCAGCCAGGGGACGGGCCAGCCGAAGGACCGAGCGACCGAAGGGCGGCCGACGAGCCTGGGGCGACCAGTGCGACCGATGGACAAGAAAAGACAAACCACAACAACCAAAACCAGCCAGGGAACGGACCAGCAAAGGGGCCGCGCGACCGAGGGGCGGTCGACGAGCCCGGGGCGACCAGTGCAACCGATGGACAAGCGAAAACAAACCAACACCATCAAACAACGCAAGGCAAGAGGGCCAGCAGAGGGGCCGAGCGACCGAGGAGCGGCCGACGAGCTCGGGGCGACCAATGCAACAAATGGGCGAGCGAAAACAAGCCAACACAATCAGTGCCAGGCAGGGAACGGGCCAGCCGAGGGCCCGAGCGACCGAGGGGCGACCTTCGAGCCTGGGGCGACCTGGGCAACCGATGGACAAGCGAAAACAAACCATTACAACCAAAACACGCCAAGGAAAAGGGCCAGCCGAGGGGCCGAGCGACCGAGGAGCTCCGACGTGCCTGGGGCGACCACTGCAACCGATGGGCAAGCGAAAAACCAGAACAACCAATGCCGGCCGGGGGGCGGGCCAACCGAGGGGCCGAGCGACTAAGGAGTGGCCGACGAGCCCGGAGCGACCAATGCAACCGATGGACAAGCGAAAGCAAGTCAAAACACCCAAAACCAGCTCGGGACTGGGCCAGGCGACCAATGTAGCCGATGGACAAGCGGAAACATGCCAAAACTACCAAAACCAGCATGGGAAAGGGCCAGCCGAAGGGCCGAGCGACCGAGGAGCGGCCGACGAGCCCATGGACAAGCGAAAAACAAGCCAAAACAACCAAGACACGCCAGGGAACGGGCCAGCCGAGGGGCCGAGCGACCGAGACGCGGCCGACGAGCCTGGGGCGACCAGTGCAACCGATGGACAAGCGAAGACGGACCAAAGCAACCAAAACACGCCAGGGAAATAATGGCTGGCCGAGGGGCCGTGCGACCGAGGGGCGGCCGACGAGCCTGGGGCGACCTGCGCGACCGACGGACGAGCGAAAACAAACCAAGCCACCCAGGACCAGCCAGGGAACGGGCCAGCCGAAGGACCGAGCGACCGAAGGGCGGCCGACGAGCCCGGGGCGACCAGTGCAACCGATGGACAAGCGAAAAAAGCCAAAACAGCCAAAACCAGCTTGGGAAAGGGCCAGCCGAAGGGCCGCGCGACCGACGGGCGGTCGACGAGCCTGGGGCGACCAGTGCAACCGATGGACAAGCGAAAACAAGCCAAAACACGCCAAGGAACGGGGCCAGCCGAGACCCCGAGCGACCGAGGGGCGGCCGACGAGCGCGGGCCGGCCGAGGGGCCGAGCGACCGAGGAGCGGCCGGCCAGCCTGGGGGGACCAGTGCAACCGATGGACAAGCGAAAACAAACCGATGCAACCAATCCGCGCCAGGGAAAGGGCCAGCCGAGGGGCCGAGCGACCGAGGGGCGGCCGACGAGCTTGGGGCGACCAGCGCAACAACTGCACAAGCGAAACAAACCAAAACAACCAGCGCCAGCCAGGGAACGGGCCAGCCGAATGGCCGAGCGGCCGAAGGGCGACCGACAAGCCCGGGGCGACCAATGTAACCGATGGACAAGCGAAAACAAGCCAAAACAACCAAAACCAGTTTGGGAAACGGCCAGCTGAGGGGCCGAGCGACCGAGAGGCGGCCGACGAGCCCGGGGCGACCGGTGCAACCGATGGACAAGCGAAAACAAGCCAAAACAACCAAAACCAGCTTGGGAAAGGGCCGGCCGAAGGGCCGCGCGACCGAGGGGCGGTCGACGAGCCTGGGGCGACCAGTGCAACCGATGGACAAGCGAAAACAAGCCAAAACAACCAAAACACGCCAGGGAAACGGCCAGCCGAGGGGCCGAGCGACTTAAGAGGCGGCCGACGAGCCTGGGGCGACAGGTGCAACCGATGGACAAGCGAAAACAAGCCAAAACAACCAAAACACGCCAGGGAATGGGTGAGCCGAGGGGCCGAGCGACCGAGGGGCGGCCGACGAGCCTGCGGCGACAAATGCAACCGATGGACAGCCGAAAACAAGCCAAAGCAACAAGTATAGCCGGAGTGCAGTATCCCCAAACTGGGTTTTTCAAACCCACTGCGGTTTCCAAGGTCGATCGCGTGCCCGTCCAGTGCGGGCTGGCATGGCATGTTAGAACATGCCTTCTCCTCCTCCTCCCCCTCCTCTTCCTCCTCCTCCTCCTCCTGCTCCTCCCCCCCTCCTCCACCTCCTCTTCATCCCGAACGGCATCTCGGAGCCCAGCGTTGCGAGGATGTCTCCAGCGTAACGGGCTGGGCCACCTCGCGCGCGGCATCTCGGACCCCAGAGTTGCGACGACGTCTCGGGCGAAACGTGCTGCGAGGAGGTCTCAGGCGAAACGGGCCGGACCACCTCGAGCGCGGCGTCTCAGAGCTTCGAGTTGCGGGGGCCTCCTGGGGCCTCCTAGGGCCTCCTGGTGACCTCCTGGGGCTTCCTCCTGGGCCTCCTGTGGCCTCCTGGACCCCGCCTTGGGCTTCCTGGGGCCTCTTGGGGCTCCCAGGGGAGGACATCTAACATGTGGCTGTCGGGCCCCCCCGAAATGGGGGGGAGGCGCACAAGAGCAGGAACAATCGACGAATCGACACCGAAGGGTCGAGCCCTCTAGCGGCGCGAGCGGCTGGCGCTGAGGATGGGCAGCGAAGCGGTGGGCGCACTGAACTGGCTCGCGGGCCGTCGGAGCGGACCGACGCACTTCGACCCCGATCCGATGCAGCTCGAAGTATTGGAGCGGATCTGCGAGATGGCCTTGCGGCGGCACCCAGGTCCAGATGCTTTCAGTGAACGCGCGGCCGCCCGCCGGCTGCTGCGAGGGCATGCGCCGCACTATGGGGTGGGCTGCCTCACCCGCGTCGCGCCCTTCAGGAAGATCTCGTCTCCTTGCCCGAGACAATGGAGGGATGCCCGCCGTTTGAGGACGTAGCCCCCCCCCCCCCCCCCCGAGGTCCAGCGCTTCCTGAAGGAGCACCCCGAGCGCATGCTGCGCGACGGAAGCCCGACACCCGCTGTGATTCCGTACTTCGACCTTGCGCTGAAGCGGAGCGCCAAGACATATCGACATTGTGTCGCTGCCAGGTGGGCTTCTTCTTCGTGGAGAAGGACTTGCGCCTCATCCTGGACGCACGGCCTGCCAACGAGCTCTTCGAGGCCCCGCCTGGCGTGGAGCTCCTCAGCGCGGAGGGCCCCAGCCGAGTGGAGTTCGCCTTGCCCGATGGGCATGGGCCCCGGGAGCCCAGGGGCGCAGCGGCTCCTGCAGGGCTGCAACCTCCACCTGGGGCTCGCGGACGTCAAGGACTGCTTCCACCGTCTGCGACTCCCGAACTGGCTCGCCGAGCACATCCGCCCCCGAGGTCCCCGCCTTCGTCCTGGGCGTCGAGGGCCAGCTCAGGGAGGGCCGCCCGCTGGGGCGGCATGACCTGGCGAGCCCCTGCCGGGGGGTCTGCCCGATGGGCTCCACCTGGAGACCGCGGGCCGCGCGGCGCATCAACGAGAGCCAGGTGATGGAGATGTGCCCCCGTCTGGCGCGGAGCCCTCTGACTGACCGAGGCAGGCCGCCCGTCTTTGGCCCGGCGGACCCTGTCGGCCATGCTGCCCACTACGTCTGCGTGGACAACCCTGGCGTCGCCTCTACCTCGGAGCCATTGGTCTCCGACGCCGTGCATCAAGTCGTCCGCGGCTTCGACGAGCGGGGCTTGCTCCTTCGCGGCAGCTCCGCGAGCGTGGAGGCCAAGGCCCTAGGCGCCGAGGTTTCGGGGCCGCGCTGGATGACCATGGTCGCTCAGAAGCGCTTCTGGCTGATCAGGCAGGCGATCAACGGGTTGCTTCGCAGACGTCGTCTGACGGGCTGGGCCGTGGAGGTCCTTGTGGGCCAGTGCACTTACGCTGGACTACTGGCCCGCGGCACCCTCGGCGTCTTCCACGCGGTCTACGCCTTCATGGGGAAGTTCTATTCCACACCTGCGGCGCACTGGCTGGAGACCCGCATGGCGCTGGAGGTGTTCCGAGGCCTGCTGATCTTCCTGGAGAGCGACTGGACGCTGCAGTGGAACGAGCTGGTGGCGACCACAGCAGCCTGGAGGCAGGAGCAGCATCTACCGCCCGCTGGCCCCGCGGCATGGTGGCCGAGGCAGGCCGCGTGCAGGAGAAGGCCCACCTCCGCGAGGTCGCTGCTGGGCCGCTGGCGGCCAAGGACGGTGGCCTCCCCGCAGCCCGCCGCGGGGCCCGCGAAGCGGCGCTGATTGCGGCGGGCTTTCGGCGGGACGGCGGCGGCGAGCGGCGGCTGGCCGGCGCGGGCGACGACGCGGAGCTGGCCGCTGCTTGGGAGGCCGACCCAGGCTTCCCAGAGGTGCCCGCGGCGGGGCTTGCGAGCAGCCGCTGGCGCGCGAAGCAGGTGCCGCGCTGGAGGTTCGAGGAGGGCATCCTTATCAAGGAGGCCCGAGCGCTGGCGATGGGCATCCGTCGCATCGCCCAGTCGGTGTTCGGGGCCGCCTGCCGCCAATTGATTCTGTCGGATAGCATGTTAAGTGTGCTATATTTAAACAGGAGTCGAGCAAAAGAGTTTGCCCTCCTCGTCCAAATCCGCAGGTCCCATGCCTACTGTCTTGCGAGGAATTTGACGGTGTCTGTCAGATGGGTTCCCTCCGAATTCAATCCGGCCGACTATGGGTCCAGATTTTTTGACGAGAAAGGGGCCAAGGAGCCCCTCGTATCGCAGTTGCTTGATACTTTATTTTCAACGGAGTCTCTTTTACAGGGCCCCCCAGGGTTCTCGCTCCCTTTTGTTTTCAATCAGCCACCGAGTCCTGAGTCTTGTTTACCTCTCGGAGCGTCGAGCCAAGATCCTCGGGTCTCGGCCCCCTTTCATCGAGTGAGCTCTCGCCCTGTGTATTCTGATTGCTGCCTGACGTCCTCGTATCCCATTCTGGCTTAACCGTTCGATAGGGCTGAGCATTCTGACCCTCGGCCCGCTTCGCATGCGGCGGCGGGGGCTTGCGCGGGCGGAGCCGCTGCCCGCGCCCCTGCCCGCGACCGAGCGGACGCGCCGGCTGGAGCGGCCGGCGCAGGCGCCGGCAGGGGCGAGGCCCCCGCAGCTGCCGCGGTCTGCTCCGACGAGCGCAGGGCTGACCCCGACGCCGCGCCGCCAGAAGACATTGTCGGCGGCCCAGCGGTCGCGGGACTGGAAGGCTCGCCTGAGCTTGGCTGCGCTGCCGCCGACGTCTCGGCTCCCAGAGCGGGGCGCGGACCTGCTGGCCCCCCCCCCAGGACTGGCAGCGCCAGATCGTGGCCGACAGCGACGGCGACAGCAGCACCTCCGACGAGCAGCAGGCCGCACAAGCCGACGAGAGGCGCGAGAAGGAGCTGCTGAGGCGCGCTGCAAAAAGGAAGAAGACCAACGGAGCGGAGGCGCTGCAGGACAGTGCAGCGGCGGACGGCCAGACCTTTCTGGAGCGACGGTCCGTGTTTGCACCCGCGCGGAGGCGGTGCGGTCTGGAGCTGGACGCCTTCCTGGAGTTCTGCGACACGGAGCCGCACCGCCCGTTGCGCTCGCCCGCGCAGGTGGACGAGGCCCTCGTGGACTACATGAACGCGTTGGTTTTCAGCGGCCACGAGTCGTCGAAGGGCGACCAGGCGATGGCGGGCCTGATGTACGGGTTCACAGAGTACTCGAAGCAGGGCGAGTCCAAGACGCCGCGAGCTTGGCTGCCTCCAGGGCTGGCGCAAGCTGGCGCCGGGGCGGAGCCGCCGGGCCTGGCCGTCGGCGCTCTGGCGCGGGCTGGCTTGGCGCATGGTGGCGCGCGGGGCGCTGCAGATGGCCGTCCTCCTGCTCTCCTTGACGCGCGGCAACGTCATCGCGCCGGCGCCAGGAGAGCGCCGCCGGTGGTCGCTGCTCCTCTTCCCGGACAACAAGCCGCTGCGCAGCAAGACGGGCCTGGCCGACGTTGGAGTGATGCTGGACAGCGGCTGGTTTCAGTGTGCCGCGCCCATCTTCCGCGAGCTCGCGCAAGGGGCTCCAGAAGAAAAGGCGTGGGACTTCAGTTGCCCTCAGTTCCTGAAGATGTTTCGGATGGCGCTGCAGGACCTGGGCGTCGAGCAGCACATTGTTCCCTACCAGGCTCGACACTCAGGTCCGAGGGTAGACGTGGCCAGACACTGCGCGATGCTCCAGGAGATACAGAAACGGAGGCAATGGAAGCATGCCAAGTCGACGCAGAGGTGCGAGAAGGCCGCCCGGCTCGGGCAGTCTTGGAGCTTGCTGCCGGCCTCCCTGCGCGACACTCTGAGCGAGTGCGAAAGTCGACTCGAGGACACACTGCTCGGAAAAGGTGCAGAGGTGATTGCTCAGTCAGGCGGCTCGGCCGCCGGCGCAGATACATCTTAGATTTGTTCTCGGGTTCAGATTCGATCGGACAAGCCGCCCTCAGGCGGGATTTCAATTACCACGGTTTTGAGATTCCGAACGGCCCCGACGAAGATTGAACGCGTCCAATCGTTATTGCTAGAATTCGAGAAGCTATTGCTCGCGGAGAAATGATCGCCGCTTCGCTCGGTCCTCCTTGCGCGACTTGGTGCACGGCGGCTGACAGAGGCCGCCAGCCAGGTCGCTCAGCGTATCCCAGAGGCCACAGAGTATACTAAGAATAGGATCGTCGCCGGGATTGGAAGAAACGCACAAAGCTTTTATTTTTCGGCGTTGGTCCCCAGGACACTTGAAAGCTGGATAAGCGTTGCCGCAGTGTTGGCGGGATCTGTTTGGCCTCGGGGAAACCGCGCGTTGTGCCCGGGGGCAGAGCCCCATCCGTGGCCACGTGGACTTCCCTTGCCGCGTCCTACCCGACAAAATCAGCTGACTGCATGGTGAATTGTTTGCTTAGCCCGCCACACCCTTCCAATGAACCCTTTGGGATATTGGGCTTCTGTTGTGTCTCGAGCTTCGCCTAGACGAGTGGCACGTGGTAGCAAAAATGTTCCCCAGTGAATGTAGCAGTTAGCCTGCCAGTGCGTGCGCGGGAAGGTTGTGAGCGAAATGGCATGATGCGTCATTGCAGAAACGAACCGTTTAAACTGGGGGACCCTTGGACTCCATAGCCTTCTTCGGTTCCCTCCCGCCCTTTTTCCCCCCCCTCCTTCGCCTCTGTCGCCAGGGCTTACTTTGTGTCTCGAGTTTCGCCTAGACGAGTGGCACGTGGTAGGAAAAATGTTCCCTACCGAATGTAGCAGCTGACCTATACCTATTTCTCCCGACCAATGTGTAAGGATGAGGACGGGGGTGCAGTGAGGATGGGCGTGACACGCTTGTGCGTGATAGCGCTGTCCAAGCTCTTTCAGCGGCCCGTCGGTCTGCGCAGTGTACACCAATCCGTGATTGTGTGCGCATATACATAGCTATATAAGGGGCATGCCTTTTTATACATAATGTCGATATGCACTTATTCACAACTAAATGCATGATTATATACGGTACACATATACAGATGTAGGTGATAACCGACTTGAAGGAAGAAGCGGCAGATCGATTCAGCAGTCCCCCCACGCCCTAATCCAAAGTCGGCCAGTGGAGGGGGCCGCTACCGCTTTGGGGGCTTCGACGCAACATTGGACGTGGGAGGGGGGCCGCGCCGTTGCGAGAAGATGACCCATGACCACGCAGTCCCATGAACATTCCGAAACGTTCCCCGAAACCCATGGTCACTTTGGTGAAGTTTTTCCCAACCATCCTGTGGTGTTGGGTCCTCGTTTTGAAGAGACGGTGCCCCGCGTTCCTCTCCTCCTTCCTCCTCCCCCTCCTCCCTCCTCCCCCATCCTCTTCTCTCTTCCGCCAGAAGGATCATCTGCAGCATCATCCTCATCCACATCCTCATCCTCATCATCGTCTTCATCATCGTCCCCACCGCCCATGTCGTCACACCCCTCACACGTTTCGTGGCCCCATAGGGAGCTCCACCGAAGGTCCCACTGGGGGCGTTCGCATGCGTCTCCCCCACCCAGGACAGCGTTTCGTGGCCCCATAGGGAGCTCCACTGAAGGTCCCAACAGGGGTGTTCGCATGCGTCTCCCCCACGCAGGACAGCGTTTCGTGGCCCCATACATAGGGAGCTCCACCGAAGGTCCCAGTAGGGGTGTTCGCATGCGTCTCCCCCACCCAGGACAGCGTTTCGTGGCCCCATAGGGAGCTCCACCGAAGGTCCCACTGGGGGTGTTCGCATGCGTCTCCCCCACCCAGGACAGCGTTTCGTGGCCCCATAGGGAGCTCCACCGAAGGCCCAAGTGGGGGTGTTCGCATGCGTCTCCCCCACCCAGGACACTGTTTCGTGGCCCCGTAGGGAGCTCCACCGAAGGTCCCAATAGGGGTGTTCGCATGCGTCTCCCCCACGCAGGACAGCGTTTTGTGGCCCCATAGGGAGCTCCACCGAAGGTCCCAGTAGGCGTGTTCGCATGCGTCTCCCCCGCCCAGGACAGCGTTTCGTGGCCCCATCGGGAGCTCCACCGAAGGTCTCAATAAGGGTGTTCGCATGCGTCTCCCCCACCCAGGACAGCGCTTCGTGGCCCCATAGGGAGCTCCACCGAAGGCCCAAGTGGGGGTGTTCGCATGCGTCTCCCCCACCCAGGACAGCGTTTCGTGGCCCCATAGGGAGCTCCACCTAAGGTCCCAGTAGGGGTGTTCGCATGCGTCTCCCCCACCCAGGACAACGTTTCGTGGCCCCATGGGGAGCTCCACCGAAGGTCCCACTGGGGGTGTCATTTCGGCACACCCCTCACACGCTTCGTGGCTCCATAGGGAGCTCCACCGAAGGCCCCAGTGCCCGCGGCCGCATGCGTCCCCCACACCCATTTCGGCACACCCCTCACACGTTTCGTGGCTCCATAGGGAGCTCCACCGAAGGCCCCAGTGCCCGCGGCCGCATGCGTCCCCCACCCATTTCGGCACACCCCTCACACGTTTCGTGGCTCCATAGGGAGCTCCACCGAAGGCCCCAGTGCCCGCGGCCGCATGCGTCCCCCACACCCATTTCGGCACACCCCTCACACGTTTCGTGGCTCCATAGGGAGCTCCACCGAAGGCCCCAGTGCCCGCGGCCGCATGCGTCCCCCACACCCATTTCGGCACACCCCTCACACGTTTCGTGGCTCCATAGGGAGCTCCACCGAAGGCCTCAGTGCCGCCGCCCGCATGCGTCACCCCCACCCATTTCGGCACACCCCCCGCATTTCTCGCACGGCAGGGTCATCACCACGGTGGCGTGCCAGGGGCGCACCGTGCGCGAAGGCGACGGGGCGGGGGAACGGCGCTCCGGGGGCGGCCAGACCTCCGGGGCGCGAGCAGTCCGCGGCCAGACCATCTCTCGGTCCTGTGGACTCTCGCCCTGGGCCGTCGGCTGCCCGGCGCGCTGCTCCCTCGGTCGACGTCGCCCAGGCGTGATCCTGGATTGCGGCCGCCACGAGGTAGGGAACGGCAAGAAGGAGGACGACGACTGGTGGCTGGAGCTCTACGTGCTGCTCTCGCGCGCCACGCGCCACGAGGACCTCCTGCTCATGCGGGCGCCGCGCATCGAGTTCTTCCTGGCAGGGCCGCCGCAGGGCTTGCGGAAGCAGCTGGAGCAGTTTGCGGCGCGCACGAAGCGGTGCAGGAGGGAAGCGACGGCCCTCGCCAGGGAGCTCGGCTTCACCGAGTTCATCCGCGAGGCCTGACCTGAGGAGCGTCTCCCCCGAGCCGCGCCTTCTCTCGACTGCCCGACTAACTAATTGTTTGGCCTCGCGCCGCGGACGACCCGCGCGCGTCGCTGGGACCCTCTCGGGGCGACCAGCGCGCGTCGCGGGAACTCCGTGCTGCGGGGGGCCCGGCGCCTCGTTCGCCCGTCGTCGCTCTGCCCAGCGGTCAGAGACTTGCCCGCTATCAGCCAGCCAGTTAGCTAGTCAGCTCTCTCTGCTTCGCGCAGCGGACGACCCGCGCGCGTCGCTGGGACCCCGCCCGGGGCGACCAGCGCGCGTCGCGGGGACTCCGCGCTGCGCTGCGCCCGCAGCCTTGGATTTTGGAGTGCGCGGGCAAAGAGGAAGGAAAAGAAGAGCCGAAAGCGGGCGCGATCCTCGCAAGAGGCGTGCCGACATGGGCGTCGCGACGTGCGGACGCTGCCGTCGGGGTTCCCGCGGAAGCTGCCTGCGGCGGCCACGCCGAGTGTCACGTGTGTTCGGACAGGCATGCTCGACACTTACACTAGGCGGTTCCATGATCGCATTCATGCAAATATATTCACTCGCGCGCAGGCCCATTCATACTCAGATTCCCTCGCGCTCTGACTCACCCGCGTTCTTTCTTTCGTAATCAGATCAATCGTAATCCTTTGCGTTGTGTACCCCGCCACATTTCGGCACACCCCTCATGCGGTTCGTGGCCCCATAGGGAGCGCCACCGAAGAAGATACTCCCAATTGCGATACTCACAACTGCATATGGTTGGGTCCTTCGCCAGGATAATTTTTTCTCTGGATTGTGGCACTCCCGGGACCTCCCTGAGAGCCAGAAAGGTACCGATACCCTACTTCCGGGATTGGGCCAGGAAGGGGGGGCTGGACGGCGGCCCCGGGTGTGCGTGTGGGCCCCCAGCGGCCCGGGGTGGCCAATAGAGTTCCCAGAAAGTTGAAAGCGCCCCCCAATCTAGTTCAAAGACCGTCCAACATTGCGTCAGTGGCGCTCTTTTGCCACCCGAGACTCCACCAGGTGGTTTGAAGACGCGCCGAAAGGCCTCCAAGGACCCCCAGGGCCCAAGGAGGCAAGCATCATTTATTTTTTGCGGAAAGCAAATCGTCCCTTTTCCATTCTAGACAGCTTCTAAGGCGGTTAAAGAGGTGCGCAAGGAGGCTCCAAGACCGCCGACGTGGCCCCAAACACGGCCCAAGAGGGCCCCAAGACGGCCCGAGGGATCCCCCAGAGAGCTTCAAGAGGGTGCCAACACGGGTCGTGGGGCAGTACCTTGGGGGGGTGCGGCTCCCAACATGCCCCCAACACCTTCGGAGAAGCTTCCAGGACGCTTCCCAGAGGCCCCGGGAGGCTCCCGAGAGACCCCGAAAACGACCCCCGGATACCCCAAAAGACTTCTAAGAGGCCCCAAGAGGCCCTTCGCCAGCATCAGCGCTGGCGCATACGCCGACACCAGCACCGGCGCCCACACCAGCACCGACGCCAGCACCGACGACAGCACCAACACCAGCACATACGCTATCGAACAACCTCTGAGTACCACCACGCGTACGGAGTGGGGCTCTGGGCCCAGCGGCACGACAACGACCACGCCGATATCCTGCGAAATGAGAGATACCACAGTGTCCACCAGGCCAACGCCAGCACCGACGCCAGCGTCAACACCTGCGCCTACGCTGGCTCGCCCGTTCTGACTCGAGGCTCCGACCTTCCAATTCCACCTCCACCTATCGACCTGTAGCCTCCACCGGCTGTAGGTATTCTGCAGCCTCCTGCGTCCGACGTCCCATTTCCACCACGACCTCATGACCGTCAGCCTCCGCCAAAGTTGCATCTCGACGAGCTCTTGGATCAGCGGCACGAGCACGACGGCCAGTTGCATGAACGCTTCGACGGCCACCGCGAGTTCGACCGCCACTGCCACCTCCACCGCCAAGGGTGCAGCGCTACCCGATGATGTTCTGGCATTCCCCAGATCACGCTCTGGATGGCTCTGGCGCGAGCCGCCCGTCACGCCTGTCCAGCAAATCCGCAGGCCCAGGAGCTGATACTCTCATCTTCCCCTCTGCTTCCCGCCCCGCGGACCGCGGTTTGACGAAGCGTAGCAGGGCGACCGCCATCCCCCTCGCCATTCCCTCAACTTCTGCATGCAGGACCGCAACCGTTCTCACCACCTGAACAACGACGACCGCTTCCACATCCACGGCTACCACCACTACGGCGACGCTGAACAGCGCCCCGGGGCCCAGCCTAACGACTCCGCGGCACCACGGTTCCTAGCGGCACGACGGTGAGGCGGCGCGACGTGTCCCAACAACATGATGCTGAGCAGCATGACAGACTGGCATGCAGAGGCGCACAGCACAGCACGACGGATACCAACAGCACGAGTTTGAGCTACGCGACGGGCTGCTGCAGTGCGACGATGTGCCGCACGACAGATTTCAGCAGCCCGACGCTATACCACGACGGAGTGCCCAGGGTTAGGTACACCTGGGGTTTCCTGGCTGTCGTCCTGGCGTCGCCTATGAGCAAGGTTCAAGGTTTGTTTTTGATGTTCTGTGGCCTGTTCTGTAACTTAATGGTCTTGCCCGTGGCAGTTAAGTTCAAGCTAGGAGGGGAGAGACGGCCATCCCCCGCGTCCTAGCACTTGCCCAGTGCATCAGAGTAAGTAAGCCCGATTTTTTTCAGTGTGCATACCCCACATCTGGGGCGAGGCTCGCCGTCGTCCTGGCGCTCTCTGCACCTGGGGCGGCTGGCCTCGTCGTCCTTGTGTGGGCGGTCGATTTTTCTGCCTCTCTGTTTCAGTATGTTTCTTTGGCCCCAGGCCATTGCGTTGTCTCCTGGGCAGGAGGCTTCTGTTTGCATACCCCACATCTGGGGCGAGGCCTGTGGTCGTCCTGGCGCTCTCTGCACCAGAGATTGTAGGTCTCGTCGTCCTTGTGTGGGCGGTCGAGTCTTATTTCTTGAGTTATTTGTCCTCCGCTTGTTTTGCCTCGGCATAGGTGCGCTGTGTACGTTCGGCCCGTGTGTGCGCTCGTCTCGTTCGGCACGCGTGTCAGGCACCCCGCTTCGGGGGAAGGCGCGAAGCACACTCGTGTGTGGACATCTCTCTTTCTCCGTGCACGGGGGCGGGCTTTGGCCCGCCCTGACAGTGGCTCGGACTGTGGTGTTGCTGCGGCTAGGTTGCTTCGAGCTCCTGGCCCCAACACTTCGCGGCGGAGGCAGCACACTGGCTGCGACAGCCGCCCGCTCACGTGCACAGTGGCGAGCGGGTGGGCCGCGCTTCTTTTACACCTGCAGGATGGCCTGCAGGTGCCTTGCCTTTCTCTGCCTAATCGGGTGGAGATTTGCACAGCAGGTCGCCCTGCTGAAGCGAGCTGTGTCGCCTGCCTCACAGCTCGTTGCCCATCAGGCAGCGAGGGCGTTGAATCCAAAAAAACACGACGGAGTGCCGCACCCGCGCCCCTGATATTCGGAGGACACGCAGCACGACAGATACTAGCATCAGGATTTCGAGTGCACGACGTTGAACAGCACGACGTGCACGGCGGAGCAGCGCGTCTCTGTACAACACGACGGGCTGCAGAAGCATGGCGCTGAACAGCAAGACAGCTTACCAGCAGCACCAAGCCCCAGCAGCGCCGCGCAGCCCAGGGAACTTAACTGGTTGCCGTGGCTACTGTTTGCACTACGTGTTCGTGTTCTTGCCGCGCGTCGTGGGGCGGCACGGCGGGCTCCTGCAGCGGGACGTGGAGCAGAACGGGTTTGTGCAGGCAGGCCGGACGAACAGCTCCGGGCCAGCTGGGCGGCGGGATGCCGGAATGCTCGGCGCGAGCGTGCAATTGCCGTTTTCCTTCTCCTCTGTCCTCCTACCCTCCCTTCCCTTTCCCTCCTCAGTCTCCTCAGTTGGCGCATGGGGCGCCTTGTGCATTCAGGGGCTGCGGGTGGACCGCTGGCCGCCCAGCCCGGTCCTGCGAGCCGCTTCCGTAGGGGGCCGCTCTTGGCCCGTGCCGTCGTCGTCGCCTGTGTCTCCTGGCGGCCATGCCGCAACTTCTCAACTTACTTATCATGTGTCCTAGTTTCTGGTGTGCGATGTTCGCCCAGTTTCCCTCGCCTTGGTGCGGCGCCTCGCGTTTCAGGGTCTTCACTTGCTTTCGTCCGTTGTATTGCAACTCGGGGGCGTAAAGGTTCGCGTGGTGGCTCACGGAGCTTTGCATTGTGCCTTAGTTTGGTCCCATTTGGTGGGATTTGAGTTTCCCTCCTCCTCTTCCTCCCGCCCTCAATTCTTTGTTTTGTTTTTTTTTCTCTCTCTCTCTCGCTTTTTGGACGAACATGTTCACGTGGTGATTCACGGAGCCCCGCACAGACCGGGAGTGCTCTTTACAGCCATGCGCGCACCGAACAAAATGCACCAGCACTTGGTCGTATTGCGCAGTCGCATCGGCCGGCCGGCTGCGCGCGTGGACCATCAGGATATCCTGGCGCAGCGTCGTTCGGGAGCACTGCCATTTGTGGTGCACGGACCAGTGGGCTTATCATCTACCAGTCACCACTCGGAGACGACGGCTTCTGCTGCTGGCGCACGTGCGCGGCGTTCTTGCGTCTTGACCGTCTTGACTGAGCCTCAGTCGACTCGCACCGCGTGGGGACTTGCTTTGGCTGCGATGAGTGCGTGCGTCTCGTGGAAACCAAAGCAAACAAAAAACTCCAAGATACCGCCCAACTAAATGCTTCCAGGGGGCTCCCAGGGGGCCTCCGAATAGGCCCCCAGAAGCGTATGAGACGTCTCGCGTCTACATCCTTCACGGCGTTCCCAAAGTGGCTTCCAGAGGCACCCAGCTCACGGTCCATCTCAGGCCTGCAAGGGGCCCCAGAGAAACACGTCGTGAGACCCCGAGAGGCACCCAAGATGCCCCGACCTCGCCATCAATGTTAGGGGTATGACGGCACAGGCGCGGCGGCCGGATGCGAACCTCGGTTCTAGGGCTGTCGATAAAGCTCTCTGTGGGGAAAGATCCGTGTGAGGAGACAATCAACATACACAGTGGGACGTGACGATGTGTGACTCCTCGCACTAGGGCCGCACGTGGAATCGCATCCTTCTGGGGCACGATCCGTGTGAAAGGTGCGATGAGCCGAAACTGGAACGCACGGGGGGGCATGACCTTTGTGAGGGCCGTGCCGAAATAGCTGGGGGAACACAGACTGCCCCACAGGCTCCCAAGAGGTCTCCAAGACGACCCCAAGAGGGTCCCAAGACGGTCCGAGAGGCCCCCAGGGAAGCCCAAGAGAGTCCCAGGATGAGCCCCACAGGGGTCCCAGAGGTGCACAACCATATTCCGATTCCGAGCTTTCGGCCCCAGAGGCTCCCGGGAGGCCCCAAGAAGTCCCCAGGAGGCCCCAAACGGCCCCCAAGAAGTCCCAATAGGCCCCCAAGAGACCTCCAGAAGGCTCCCAAGAGGCCTCCAGGAGGCCCCTGGGAGGATCCCAAGAGGCTCCCAAACTGCCTCGAAGACGACCTTGAGAGGCCTCTAAGATGCCTTCAAGCCCCCCCCCCCAATAGGGCACCCACGGCCTTCTGGTAAGAATGACGGTGGAGATGATGAAAGAACATCGTCGAGGGGTATCATGACGATTATCATGATGATGGGAAGATGGCGGTGGCGATGATGAGAGCAGGGCAAATATCATGAAGATGGGTACGATAACGATGGTGATGATGCTGATGATGATGACGATGCTAATGCTGATGGTGATGATGATGATGGTGGTGGTGATGATGATGGTGAGAATGCGGAGGAGGATGTGGATGAGGGTGATGATGCTTATGAAGAGGGGGAGGACGAGGAGGATGAGGAGAGAACGCTAATGAACTCTGGTACGGATGATGAGAGTGATCGTATGATGATGAGGATGCGGACTGGCTGCTGAGTGGGGTTGATAAGAACCTGATGGTGGTGATGATAATGATGGTTCTGACTGTCATGCTGATGATGTTGATGGTGGTGGTGGTGCTGAGGATGATGATGACGATGGTGACGAGGCTGAGGATGTTGATGACGATGGCGACGATGCTGATGATACGGATGTTGATGATGATGGTGACCAAGGGGGAGGAAGAGCAGAAGGAGGATGATGATCATGATGATGGTGACGATGATGATGATGATGCTGATGATGGTGATGATTACGATGCTGATGGTGATGATGATGATGATGATGATGATGTTGGTGATGATGCTGACGATGTTGATGATGCTGATGATGATGAGGAGGAGGGTGATACTGATGATGATGATGACGACGATGATGAGGCTGATGATGATGATGATGATGTTGTTGTTGATAGCGATGGTGAAGGTGATGGTGATGGTGATGGTGATGGTGGTGATGAAAATTATGATGCTGACGATGATGATGCTGATGCTGATTCGGATGTCTCTGCTGCTGCTGCTGCTGATGATGATGATGATGATGATGATGATGATGCTTATTATAGTGATGATGATGATGATGATGATGATGATGATGAGGAGGAGGAGGAGGAGGAGGATGATGATGGCGATGGCGATGACGATGACGATGACGATGCGGCGAGGCAGGATCAGGGCAGCCGTCACACGTGTTATCTTCCGTCTTTTCTTCTTGAGGAGCTTCACAGAAGCCCACTTGGGCTGTTTTTGGGCCGTCTGGGGCTTTCGTCAGGCAGTTATGGGGACTTTTGGGCCTTTTTGGGCCAGCCCTCTTGGGGCCGTCATGCAATGGTTTGAGGCTCTCTGGGGCCGCCTTGGGGCCCTCTTGACTGTCTGAGTTGGGGGGTCTCTTGCGGTCGTCGATGGGCCGTCTTTGGGCCGTCGATGGGCTCTCCAAGGCCGCCCTGCGCCGTCTAGGGGCTTTCTGTGGCTGCCTTGAGGCCGTCTTGGAGGATTATTGGGTAATTTGGGTGCAGTCTTGGGGCCATAGCAGTGGATACCTGTAGGGCCGTCTGGAGCAGAAGGGAGCCCGGACAGGTGAAGACGCCGAAGACTTTCGCATTCGCCTTTTCGGGCCTTACTGGGGGTTATCTTGTGGCTCTCTTGGGTCTTTTGCGGGGCGTCGTGGGCCGTTTTGAGGCCACCCTGGGCCGATGTGGAGCCATCTTGGGCCGTTTCGGAGGCCTCGTTGGCCATCTTGGCTCTTGGCGGCCTTGGTTGCCTGTCTTGGCCGTCTTGTGAGCTCGGGGGGGGGAGGAGGGAAGAGAAGGAAAAATGCATGGAGAAGCTAAGAGCTGCAGTTGGCATAGACAGGATTGGTGTTTTCCCCGTGGGTTCTAACGCCATGTTGGCATTGGCGTTTGGACAGCGCGGAAAGATTATTTGGCTTACGCCGCACCGCTAACCCCTTGGGGGAGAGTCGCTGTTGCGGCTTCTGGGTGCTGCGTGACTTAAGCTGCCTCGGAGGCCCTTCAGATCGCTCCAAGACGGCCCACGAGGCCCCGAACAGGGCCCCAAGCGGCCCAGGAGGCTCCCCAGACAACCCCAGGAGGCTCCCCAGACGACCCAAGTGTGCCCCAAGAGCGCCCCAAGAGGGTGCCCAGAGGGGGACCGCGAACCGATATTTCGAGGTCTCTGGCCCTAGAGGCCCCCAGTAAGCCCCCAGGAAGCCCCAAGAGGCCCCACGGGGCCCCCAGGGAACGCAAAAGAGGCCCCCCAACACACCCCAACAGATCATGTTCCCAGAAAGCGTTCCGGGGACATGGTTCATCATGGGCCCGAGAATCTCCGGAGGCTCCGAAGTACCATCGCGCTACCGGAGAGTTGTCTGGGAAGTTGATTGGGAGCATGACTGATCGCCTTCTCGCGGCCCTCCGCGGATCGTTTCGCACAAAGTTGCCCCAAGTGCCTTCTTGAACCGACGGCGACGAAGACGACGAAACGACGAAGACGAAGACGACGACGACGACGACGACGACGACGACGACGACGACGACGACGACGACGACGACGACGACGACGACGACGACGACGACGACGACGACGACGACGGCGCGCCCCGAGAGGCGACGACGACATGACGACGACGACGACGACGACGACGACGACGACGACGACGACGACGACGACGACGACGACGGCACGCCCCAGCAGGCTCCCCTAAGACGCCCCCAAACCCATGTTCCCAGAAGGCCCTTTGGGAACCCGATTCATTAAGTCTCCGCCCCCCAGCCATCTTCCCCGAAAGCATTCCATAATGCGGACTGACATGAATGGACTTCGCACTGCCCATAATGCGTTCAGCGTTGTTGGCACTTTACTTCCCGCTCAAACCATATGCAGTCCATGCACTTCAGTGAGCAGTGAACTCGTCAAGGCCTGGGGCCTGCTAGAACCTGAGCGCGCGCGAAGCGCGCGCATTGGTTCTAGTATACATATATGTAAGTATGTACGCAGACATGCAGGAATTGACAAGTTAATGTCCGCCTGATTTGTTATACTCGATTTGTGTTCTGTGGTTCGAAACGGTGCTACTGCTGCAGCGTGGGCCTTAGTTTCGGATCGGCGCCTTGCTCCCGTCGTTCAGAATAGTGCTCTCGCCCTCCTCATGTTCCCCCCTCCGCCTTCCCCTGGTCCTCCTGCTTCTCCCGCTTCTTCCACTCCAGCTCCTGCTGCTGCTTTTCGTCCTCGTCCTAATCCTTGCTAATCCTCCTCATGTTCCCCTTGCCCATCCTCCTGCTCATCCGCATTCACCTCCGCCAATGTAATGTGCGCAATCTTTGTTTGTTCCCCGATTGCGCATAACGCGATGGGGTCTTCTTTGGAGTTCCAGGTCCACTATGACACGCGTCGGCAAATAATCAAAAACAGCGCAATGGGAAGGGATGGGTGGGATGGGGTAGGATGTTGGAAATGGCGCGAACGCGCCTAGATTTTCTTTCTCGTCGCTCCCATCTCCTCCCCATCGTCCAGGGGTTGGGGGGGGGCTCTAAGGTGGTATTACACCTGAAGGACAGCTGACACCGCCTGGGATTTCTTGGGCACGCACCGCGCGTCGCCCTCCTCCGACTTCCAGTGTCACTCTGCATTCGCCGCGGGCGGCTCGCTTGACTTTCGGCTGCCAGAGGAGGGTGGAGGATGAACAGGAAGGACAAGGAGGGGAGGAGGTGGGAAGCAAGGAGGGTTGGATGGGGGGAGAAAAGGATTTGACAGGGGATGAGGGGATGAGGGGCGACGGTAGGAGGACCTGCAAGGTGCGCTCGCACCACATCTGACGTCTTACCACATCCATCCTTTTCCATTGCGTCGAAGCCCTATATGTTCACAGAGCTGCTGGTGTCAAGGAAATCTTTTGTCCACGCATCGACACCTAATCAGCACAGCCAGGAGGGCACGCCGGAACCATCCTTAGGGAGACACGCCGCACATACGGAAGCGGGGGGCTGGATGTTCTCGCAGTTTCGCAGGTCCCCACGAGTGCGCCCGATACCGACTCAAGGTGTGGTGGTGGGATGGGCCGCAAGCCACTAGATACCATCGCCCCTCTCCCCTCCCTTCGCTTTTTTTAGCTTTACTCAACAGTCTCTGTTCCCTGCTGTCGTCTTCTTACTGGAGCGAGCGCCGCTTCTGACTGTTGTCAGGCAGCGAACGACTGGTGGCCGCAGCGGGCAGCGGAACGCCAGCTGCACTACGTCGGCGGGCAGAACGGAACGCTAGTTACATACGTTAGCTCGCCCGTCTCCTAGCGGTGCAGTGGCGGGCTACGCCTACCTCCCCGTGTGCGTAGCACGGAAGTGGCGACTCCCTCTCAGGAGATTGTTGGTTGGAAGGTGATCAGGGTGTCGTGCGAGCAGCCCACCAGTCAAGAAAACAAGCAACATGTTTCAAAGACTCCCCAGCGCTTTGGCCGAACTGCGATCCCCCGTGCAAGCCAACAAGCCCCCGATGCCGCGATCCCGCGCGAAAGATATCCAGGATGCCCCCGAGGCCGCGATTCTGTACAAATGTCATGTGGTCCGCGTTTTTGTGGTTGCGAGTTCTTGTGGAACAACTAGTGGAGCATCGTTATCGAGGCCACGATCCTTCGTTCAAGCCGTAATATATGCGCTCCCGAAATCAAGATCCTTCGTAGGGGAAAAAACGCAGCAAGGAGGGCCCTGGAGTGCCTAAGAGCTTCCCGGAATAATTGTTGACGCTTCGCGTATCCCCACCAGCCCATCCAGAAACGATGCTCAGGGGAGTTGAGGTGATCAGGGAAGTCGGGGAGCATGCAGAATAACAAAGGGCGGGGGAAGCTGTCACAGACCCCGAGAGGGGGAGGATGGAAGAGGAGTCGTCGTCGTCGTCGTCGTCGTCGTCGGAGGAGGAGGAGGAGGGGGAAGAGGAGGAGGAGGAGGAGGAGGAGGAGGACGGAGAAGGAGGAAGAATCGGAGGAGGAGGAGGAGGAGGGGAAGGAGCTTCTTGGGGGTCTTTTGAGGGCCTCTTGGAGGGCTTTTTGGGCGCCTTGGGGCATCTTGGGCGCCTCTTGGGACCCTCTTGAGGCGCTCTGGGGAGCCTTCGGGGCGCTTTTGGGGCCATCTTGGAGGGAGTCGATCAAACAAGAGGGGGGGTTTAATTAGCGCCCCCCCTCGGAAGCCCCTAAAATCGCCTCTTGGACCCCTCTTGGAACGCTCTTGGAGTGCTCTTGGGCGCTCTTGGGGCCGTCTTGGGGCTCTTTTGGGGCTCTCTTGGGGCCCTCTTGGGCCATCTTGGAGCCATCTCCAGGCCTCGGATGGCCATCGGAAGCGAAAAGGCGAGAAAGCAAAAATCATTGATTTTCCTTAGGTTTTGGGACGATTTTGGCCTCTTCGGGGCCTCCTTGGGGAGCTGTTTGGCCACTTGGAGTTATCTTGGGGCCGTCTTTGGGCTTCTTGGAACCATCTTAGGAGCCATCGTGAGCGATCTTGCGCTATCTTGAGCCATCTTGGAGCTCATCTTGGGTTCTCTGAGGCGCTCTTGGAGCCGTCTTGGGCCATCTTGGACGCTCTAACTACCCGCGGCCCCCCCCGTCCAGGTCCAGGGGAGGGGGTAGGGGGAGGGGTAAACCCCTCCCCAAGGGGGAAGAGGGAGGGGTGGAAGAGGATCTGCTCTAGACCACCTACGCCCAGAGGGCTGGTGGGATTGAACACGCGTGGGGGCATTCGCGAGTGCACGGGGGCGCCTGGGGGGCGCCTTTGGAGTGCGGAGAGCACGTGTAAGCGTTTCAGAGCGATGAGGACGCCTGGGAGCGTTTGAGGACGCTTGACAGCGCCTGGGGAGGCCTGCGGAAATGCATGGGGGCGCTTGGGAGCGCCAGGCAGCGTCTGGGACTGCTTGAGAGGCCTGGGGGCGCTTGGGGGGGGGAGAACGCTTAGGGGCGCCTGGGGGCGCCCAGGAGCGCCTGGGAGCGAACCTGTGAGGGCTTGGGAACGTTTGGGAAGGTTTGGGCGCGTTCGGGAACGCGTGGGGGCGCTTGGGAGCGCCCGGGGGCGCTTGCGAACGCACGGGGGCGCCTCGGAGCGCATGGCAGCCTTTGGGAATGCATGGGAGCATGTGTGATCATTTTGTTACGCCTGGGAGCTCCTGGGAGCGCCAGGAAGGCTTCAGAGCGCTTGGGAACGCGCGGGGGCGCCTGGGAGCGCTCGGGGGCGTTTGGGGGCGCAGGGAACGCCTGGGTGCGCCTGGTACCGCCTGGGCATTTAAGATTGCCTGGGAACTCCTGCGGCGGGGCACCAGCAGATGCGACGTAACTGTGATGCCGCCAAAAGCACCGCGTGGAACCTGGAAGAGTCATTGACGCCACGAGGAAACCTGATGGTTATTGGGGCACACGAAGAATCCTGGCGCGGCCTGAGGGCGCCCGACAACTATCGTTTCACGCAGACCCCATCCCCCCGCCATCCCGCGCGGTGATCGCGTAGCGGGATGCCCGCAGGCGCGGCGCAGGTGCGACGTCGCCAGTGGAACCGCATGGAGGCTGGGAGAGAATCGCGCACATCTTGGAAACTCTGATTCTTGGGCACCCGAGGAATCCGAACGCGGCCCGAAGGAACCCGAAACAGCCTTTCCATCGCCCCATCCAGACCCCAAGCCCCCGCGCCGCGCGGTGGCCGCACACCGGGGCGCTAGAAGGTGCGACGCATCCGCCATGCCGCCAGGGGAGACGCGTGGAATTTTGAAGAATCGTGAGAAACGGAAAGGGGGCCTGATGATGGCCAGGCGGAGCGCGACCCGCACGGCACATTGCCTGCCGCGCCGCTTGCAACGCCTGAGTCGCGGCGCGAGGCCCCGCCACCCGCGGCGGGCGGGGGCCCGGCGACTGCGCTGCAGACACCTTTGAGACAAGGCCTATACGGAGAAAGTACAAAGCAACCAGCGAGCAGCTCTGCTGCGACGCGTGCACCCCTCCGGGCAGGCCGTGCTTCGGGGCGCGGCCAGCAGCGGAAGCGGCGCCTGCCCGATTTACCCAGAGGACGTGTTCTGCGCGTGGGTGGACGCCTATTTTGAGAGACCAGCACCCGGTGGCGGCTGCAGCTTCCGCGCGCGGAGCTCAGCCAGCAGGAGCTCGCGGGGGCGGGGGCCGCCTGCTGCTTGCGCGGCGCCGACGGAGCTGGCTGCGCCGGGGCTGGACGAGCGCGGTTGTCAGCTGCCGCGCCCTGGCGAATTGCCAGCTGGGCAGGAGAGTGCTGGCGCGCCGCGGCGGGCTCGCCCGAAGGGTCGCCAGGCTCCTCCAACGCGTGCGCGGCGAGCGGCCTGACTCTCTTCGAGCATGCTCGAGGGCGCCGACTCGGGGCCCCCGGCGCCCGGTCGGCCCGCTCGAACGCGCCGTCATGGACCTGGGCCTGGAGCGCCAGGAAGACGACGGGGCCCGGTGGCTCGACGCATTTGATCGCCACCCCGCAGCCGGCGCACAGGCCGAGCCGCGCGTGGCTGCGCGCCGGGGCGCGCGCGGCGAACGGGAGAAGCACGCCCGCAACCCGAGCGCCCAGCTGACGCCCTTCGCCCTCGAGGCGGGGGGGCGGTTCGGCGCCGAGGCCCGCCCCCGGCTGCTCGGGCGCGCGCGCTGCCTGCCTTAAGTCGGGCGCGCCCCTCTACAGGGATAATAGTTTAAATCGCAAAAGTAATATGGTGGCGAATTCCCCAAGCATCTTCAAAGCATTCAAACGCTAATCTGGAAATTGCCCCCTTGACAGAAGCTTCGCTAGCAGACGGCGCGCGCGTTTGGAGGACGTGCTGCGCCGCGTGGCGTCGCCATGACCTGTTGAGCCGCTCGCGGCGGCGACAGCGCGCGCTGCCGCGTTTGGCGCGCGCGTGCCTCTGCGGCGAAGCGGTTCGTGCACGGCGCGCAGTGAGGGCCTCGCGGGTCCGATTGTGCTATATAAAACCGAATTGTTTTCTCGTGGGGCTGTCAAGAACCACGCCCCCCCCTAAAAAAAAACATTGGTTTCGGGCTATTCATATATAGTCAGGGAGGGCCCGGGGGCGTCGACAACTGTCCGGGAATCGTCGGCGCAGCAGAACAATGCAACAATCGAGCGTGTTTGGCGCGATTCTGGAGGGCTCCGCGGTGCATGATAATGTATATTTGCGCATTTTCATTGCTTGAACTTATGACTAGTGAACGACCGCGCAGCGGCGGTGACGACGACGGGCCTCGCGCCCCCAACCCGCGCCCGACATCTCCAGGACAGCGACAACGACAGAAAGCCTTTCATCTGTCACAGCACGCAGTGGCACAGCTTAATCACAGTGCGTTTCGTCAGGTAGGCTCTGGGGCCACAGGGCCCCCGCCCTTGGCGGGGCGCGTTCTGGCGGGGCCCGCGGGAACGCCGCCTGTCGCCGCCCCCCCCCCCCCCCCGCGGTCGCCGTCGCTGCGCGCGCGCGCGCGGCCGCGACGGCGACGGCGAAGACGACGACGACGATGGCATCGACGACGACGGCGACGACGACATCGAGGGCCCTCGCCACTATCCCGCCCCCCCCCCCCCAGGAGGCGCTAGAAAGCGCCGGGGTGCCCCGGGGGGCCCCGCGAAACCAGAGGAGGTCTCAGGAGGCCCCAGAAGAACATCAGGAACCCCCAAGAGGGCTTCAGGAAGCCCCAGGAGGCACCAGGAATTCCCGCGACACCGCAG